GACTTTTAAGAAAAAATAATTTAAACGAAAACCGAAATGAGCTAATTTTTATGATTTCTATTGATATTTTCACCGACGGCATTGCATACAATAAGGGAAGTTATGTGATGGCAACAAATTTTGCAAATCAAGTTTTCGGTGGGAACGCACTTCTCCGTAATAGGAAAGTGTAAATAAACTATTTTGAGAGAGGTGTCGGTCTGACTGTCTGTCTGTGCGTGCACGCGTGTATCTCAAGTTCGGCTGAACCGATTTTAATTTTATATGTAGATTTATTTCGACTATGGTACAGATTGATCGACTTTTAAAATATATTACATTTTTACATTTGATCATTTTGAAGAAAATATTCAACAGATTTACTTGAAATTTTATATATAAAGCTTATATTATTATAATATGAAGCTTTATTATAATATAAAACTTTATTCGACAGTATGCGAAACCACCTAACTTTTGGAAGAAATTAGGTGTCACCGTCTGGTCGTTTACCACGGGCCAAATATACATTTTTGCGTATATAATGAAAAATAATTAGCCGATTTCATTGAAATTTAAAATTTAAATTCGAGATGTTAATATAATCAGGGCTCGGAAACCAAACTGAGGGCCGATTTTACATCTTCTACTTTATCTACGTAACGGATTGATGGAATTTATTGAAATTTAATATTTGAGTTCTGGTTGTTACCACAAGTTACTAACAAACTTTTCGTATAATTCGGACGGCACAAGATGAAACTCTACTAAGAGCGAAATTCCTACCTAAAAGTTACATAAAAGTTACCTAAAAGCTTATTGGCGTCCTTAAAATTGTAAAGAAGTGTCTAAAACGCATTTTTTATAATCTTCTGGAATACTGTTACTAATTTAGATAATAAACATTGCGGTCGGTTATGTGCTAATCACATCAGAATTTTTTTTCAATTAAAATCCTTCCGTTTCGTCGAATTCAAAATAACATGAAAACCTCAAAAAAATTAAAAAATTATTTTAAAACTTATTGGGTCACCTCTTTATTCGTAATATTCGTAACTATTTCATGTATGCTATGTTGATTACTTACAATGCAATTGTAAAGAGAGCACGAGTTTTCAATTTAATGACAAAAAAACATATAAACGCATGGAAAAATGAATTAAAATGAAAATAATTGGTGAATCCATAAATGAAAATCGATCGTTAATTTTTTGTAACTGGTTTCTAATATCTTTTTAGTTTTTTCTAACTTTTTCTCATTTATTAAATTTTACATTGATTAAGTTGCTCCTTAACACATTTATTTTAATATAAAACTTGTAAATAAATTGTATATTTACCTGTTTGCTATTCAATTTCCATTTGAAATCATTTTCTGTCCAGAAATTTTCGAATTTGCTAACATTTAAAATTGATTGCCTTTGCAAGAGAAAACAGGAGCCAAGTACTAATTTATATAAATAGCTAAAATTCTTATTAAATTTGAAAAAATCTGATTTTTATTAAAAGGGTTGGAACGAATTAAATTTTAATGTTTTGATAAAAAGCAACTATTTTAACATTATGTGATATACCGTGAGCTAATAATCATGTTATTCATAAAATCCTCACCCAAAAAAAGGATAACATATAATTAAAAGAACAAGTTTTAAAGGAAAAATTGTTTGATAAAAATTGTTGAGATTTTGATATTGCACTTGACCCATTTTCTCATGCCTTACTGACAAAGAAGCGATTTATCTATCTAGGCAAGCTTTAAAGCTGCAGTTTTATTTTTTATTCGTCTCACTCAGTTTTATAATTCACATTTGGGTGAAAACTTTTTTACTCAATTTTTCTAAATGGCTCTTCCCTGCCATAGATGGATTTCGCTTTGTTTCCATGTCAAAATATATATTTATATATATATACTAGAATGCCCTCACAGGCAACATAACATTATTGAACTGTGAAACCTTTAGAGCATTTTGTGAATATTCAGCTTTTAATTCTTTGAGAACACTTATTTCGTTTCTTTTAATATTTACTTTTGTAGGATATGAGAAACTAATTTCAAATAAGCTAAACAATAATGACAAAATATACTTTTAAAAACCATTAATCTAATTTATCCTTAACTTAACTCTTTTGAACGAATAATTATAAACAAAAAAAATTTGATGTGGTCAGCACATAACCGACCGCATTGTGTATTGTCTAGCTAAATGAAAGTGTTACAGAATATTATAAAAATGTCTGTTAAATACTTCTTTCCAATTTTTAGGACATTAGTAAGCTTATAGTTAACATACTTAGAAAAATGTAAATTTGGCTCTTAGTAGAGTTTCGCTTTGTGCTACCCAAATTCCCTGAAATGCTCGCCAGTTAGTTTCGGTAACAACTAGAACTCAAATATCAAATTTCGAGAAATTCCATCAATTTGTTCTGTGGATATGGTGAAAAATGTAAAATCGGCCCGCAAATCCGTTTTCGAGCCCTGATCTTTCCAAAAAATTTATATGTTCATTGTTTTAATACGAGGAGTTCATATATTAAATTTCAATGAAATCGGTTGATTATTTCTCTTTATATACACAAAAATGTATATTTGGCCCGTAGTAAACGTCTAGTTTCCGATGCCTGATTTCTTCCAAAACATACGAATTTTTGCGAACGGTCAAGCTGGGCTTATATATAAAATTTCAAGTAAATCGGCTGAATATTTTCTTCAAAATGTTCAAAAATGTAAAACAGGCTCGCTAAAAAGTGCAGTTCCCGAGGCCTGATATATACCAAAAGTTGATCGATCCGTGCCATGGTGGAAACAAACTTACATATAAAATTTCATCAAAATCGGTTCTGCCGAACTTGAGATACATGCGTGCACACACAGACCGACAGACCGACAGACCGACAGACGGACAGACCGACAGACCGACAGACCGACAGACCGACAGGTTGCTAAAAATAGTTTATTTACACTTCCCTACTATGGAGAAGTACGTTCCCACCGAAAACTCGATATGCAAAATTTGTTGCCATCACATAACCTACCTATTGTTTACACAATACGGTCGGTAAAAACATGGTAGCGCAATAATCTAATGCAAATTAATAATTTAATAAAATAAGCGGCTCAATCTTTGAAAACTTCTAAAATGGAGAATAAAAATATCAGCAAACAAGTATGACACATTTAATGTCTTTATTTTTAATTTAAATTTAAAGTTTTTATTTTCAATTTTAAAGACACTTTATTTAATATCTTGGCATTTGATTTGATATTTTTGTCTTATAAACTTGTTTAGACTTTTTTAACGATTTAATTAAATTAAAAAAAAAATTTGTAGTTAAAATTTTAATTTATTTTTTATATTTATTGGAAGTAGATAACGTTCGTTTTGCAATATATCTAGATGGCTTTAATATTACTTTTTATGGAATGTTCGTAAAATTTGTATAATCTTTAATTTGTATATTAGTTTGCGCTCAATTATTTATAAGATTTTTCTTAGGGAGAAAAGCTTTCTATTTACAAATTAGGTTCATTTATGTTCCATGTCGTCTATTGTATTTCTGGTTGTCTTAATCTTGATGTTAGTAAGGGCACACTTGGGTTTATTATTCAAGTAATTTGAATTATGTTATGTTACGCCTCTATACTTGATCCTTAACCAAAGTAACTTGTCTGGTAATAAAACATCGTTTTTGCGTAAATATGTGGACCGCAGGCAACGAAATTATACCTAAGCAGTATAAAAAAAGCTTATAGATATGTTATACTAAATTGAAACAGTAATTTCAATTGACTTACAGTTTCATACAACCTCTTACTTTTATATGTTTATGGATATTTTATACATAAATATTAGTTACTATATAGTAACTAATATATCCATACAAATTACCAAATTGTTCAAAATTTCAGTTGTATGGCACCAACTTATGAAATTGTGTGGCGCTCATGACAGCTCAACAACTTTTAACGAATATAGCTGCCAATATTTTGTTTTTGCCAAATTTCAGTTTTGTTTTTAAGATATAGCCGAATAACTTTTCAAGTTGTATGGCAACTACCAAAAGGAGCCAAACAATTTCAGCGATATTTACCAAGCACAATAGCCCTAGTAATATATTCAATGCCATTTTAATAGCTTACCTTATATCGTTTCTGAGCTGAGATATAGCAAGATAAATTTTGAAGTTGTGTAGCAGCTACCAATATCTCGATCTTCAAAGTATGTATAATCAAGTCTTAATTCATACATTCTTTTCAATAGAATAGGCAGCACATACGTATATATTAAGTATAAATACAATAATTATATTACCTAAATAATTAAGTATAATATTCAAATATTCTTAATCGGTTTATTTTTTCCTCATACTTGTTTTTCGCAATCATTACAAAAATGCACAGAATTCAAAAGGAATCACTTAATATTTAATTATTTGGCGAAAATTATACAATCACCTCGCGAATCAAAGTATATTTCATCAATTAATTCACTTTGTTTGCAAATACTCGTACAGGTACGCATTGTACCTTACATATTCCGGTTTTTTTTATATATCATATACTCTCAAATGTAAAAAATTTATATACATATGTACGTAATATACAGAAAAATATTTTGCATAAAGTTAAATTATTCTGTATTCACCAATGTATTTTAATTTGTTAACTACATTTCAAAATAAAGAAAAACAAAAAATCGAGTTCGAATTAAATTTTCATACTTTAAAATTGATTATATTATGCCGCTCCAGAATTATTCTTTCATAGGAAAAATGGCCAAAAAAATTACTTATGACTTATATTTACATTCTTTGGCAGTTCTTAAAGCTTTATTTAATCCGATTTCTCTAACGGATATAATTTTAAGACTATTTTGCATTGTTTCTTAATTTACGACACAAATGTATGGCAATATTACAGAATTAAAACTACTAGTGATTATCATGGGTCAATGAATATTAATTAAATAAATTTTTCTGTTATTATGTCGTTTATTTAATTTTTTGTTCGCTTGCGTCGTTAGTTGTTGAAAAATGCTTGGGAAATGCTTTTTGGATTTGAAACAGAACGACATCAGAGCGACGATTATGCAAACAATTGCTGTGGTATGGAATAAAGTTAAAATTACTTTTCTCTTATATGCTCTTGTTATTTAGTCAAGTGCTCTTAGTACTTAAGTCAAGTGCTTCTAATGTATAAAATAAAATCAAATAGTATTCAGCATAATATTTCCTACACACATTAATAAATAGTCATATAGTGTAACTATACAGTGGATTTAATTATTTTTCTTGAACTATTGTAGAGTACATTTTTTTAAATAACACAATCAACATTTAAAAATTTTTTTATGGCAATATTTGTACGAGTATTTTAGATTACATATTGAAAATTTATTCAAAAAATTAAAAAATCTAAGTCTAAACATTGCTGTTGAATCGCAGTTCACGGTCGGCTAATTTAAAATTCCTTTTGATTTTAAAGATAAGGATTTAATAAAAAAAATAACGTGAACTGAATTGATTATTGCATTCTAGAAATGTTTAGGAAGACTTTTTGAAAAACAAAATTTCATTTTAATATAACTACATATGTGATCGAAAATAAAAGCATGGTAAAAAGATAAACTTCTTACAAGATAAAATCTTGATATTGCCGGTTTATATGATTTGGGAAAATTCTAGGATTTTTGATGACCTAATGAGTTCTCTAAACTAAAATTTCTCTATTAAATTTCAATCATTTTTTTTAACTTTCAACAATTAAAATTCATAAGCAAAACTTATTATAGCAGATAGGTTAAAAAATGGCTAGGTGGTAATTATAACAATGAAGGAAATGTATATTGTTCATAATACATTACAATGAACAATTTAAATACAAATTTAAAATTAATAAATTTTGAAAAAGTATATTTCGAATTTTTTACTTCATGATTTGATTCTAACAAATACAAATAAAATTATTATATAATAAATACAAAGATTAATTGTAATTAGAAATTTTTTCAGTCTCTTCTAATGTTGATACTTGTTATCTTTATGTACTACAGTCACTTAGACTTCAGTCAAGAAATTTTTGTATGAATCACAAATAATACTTTGCAAAAAATAATTTAGAATGAATGTGTTTGGAGAGTAAATATTGCAGCACTACTCTGGTAGTGTAAAATAGTCCACATTTTATTTTTGTTTACAATTATTTTGGTTTTTTCTTTGAAAATCTGAAAAAGTTTCTTACAAACGAAGTTTTCTCGAAGAAAAGTTTCTTAAAAACGGCATTTTATTTTTCATTACTAAAAAAATTAAATTTTGTGTTCATTCTTAAAAACAAAATCCATGCAATGCACATAAAATACATTCATCATGTAATCATCATCATCACCTTTGTTATTATCATCATCACTATTTTTTATCATCGTTACTACTATCAAAAGAAATGAATCAACATATAAACGTCATCAATTCCTTTTTCAACAGTTTGTGTATATAACAAAACGGGAAGTACGATATGCTTACAAATATCAACACTATCATGAACGAATGATAATAATTAATATGCAGAATGCATTTTGTAAATTTTATTATTGTTGTTGTTATGTTGTTTTTTTCCTTTGATTTTTTTACGCGAGTACACAATTATACGCGATCAAGAAACCGTATTTTATTCGTTCGGATTTTTTGTTTGTATTTTGTTGATATTTGCATTTAAGGTTTTTGTTCTCAAATAAAAATTGCGTATAGTCTTTCATTTGTTCACATTTTTTTTTCTTGTTTTATTTTTATGATTGATTTCAGGAAAGTCTGGTTTTATTAGAATTATATTTGTTTTTATAAAAATACAAAACAAAAGGAAGAATACCTGAAGAGCTTATTATATAATTAAATAGGCAAAATGAAATTAAAAAAAAGTGCATAATAAACAAAATGACCGTGAAAGGAATAAATTAATATCGTCCACAAATCAAATTATTTTTATATAAAGACACAAGTGTGTATTGAACATATTGAAGATCGATTGATATGCCAGCTGTGATTATTATATGACAAATGAAATTTAAGAACCGGGAAGGGTTAATATTTTTACAGTTTTAAGGAATTAAACGGTATTTTTTAATATTCTTTTATTCTCGTTTTCATTTAACGAATTTTCTAATTGCATACAAATGAAATAAATTCATATGTCAAGAAATTATATTTCGTAGTCAATTTTCTAAACATTAATTGACATTTTCTTATAAAATATTTCCTGTTTATTACTTATGTTTGTTATTAACATAATTTTATTTACATAATAAAAGTATTAAGCAAATTAATTGCCATACACAGCTTTTTTTTTTTGTGATGAATATGGAGTTTTTCGAAAAGTCTGCATTTTATTTATCCGTGAAGTTCTGAAATCCGCCAAATTCTATTTCAACACAGTTCTAAATTGTGTTTATGGCAATACAACACAAACCCATTCCAGTAAACAGATAAGAAACAATAAAATGAATGAGAAACATCCATTTTGAAAACATTAAAAATTGCATATTTTTGGGGACATTTTAGGAAAAATGCGTGAATTTATATAATTTTTAAAGTTAAAACTTATATGAAATAATAAATTATAAATCAAAATGGAATATATTCTACATGATGTTATATTGTATATTACTTATTCTACATATACATATTTTGGGAAAATACATTTATTGTAACTGTTTTACTACACTTATTTTAGAAGCTCACAACATCTTAATCTATTTCAGTTACTCAAATCCACATTAAAAAGTTACAAAGATTTCTAATTAAAACCGACTTACATAAATTTGAAGAGAAGTTTCGAACATTAAGCCTACTGTAGGATAATATTGAATTGAATTAAAAATACTATATAAGACTATGATGGATTTTCTGTAAAAGGAAACACAGAATCCTGTTCTTTTTATACAAACATTGAAGTATACATACAAACTTTGTAATTATTTCAAAATCTAAGAAATGTAATTATAACGTTTCCTCTATATGCAAAAATTTACTTGCATGCCTAAATTTGTGTGCTTACTATATAACTTAAAATTTCTCTAACTATTTGTTCATAGAGCGTAGTTATAAGAACGTAGTTATAAGGAAATGCAAACTTTGATTAAAATGAACCAGTTTTGGGAAACTTAAAATCATTTGGCATATAATTCAGAGGAATGGCCTAAAGTCTCAGGAACTAGTTGAACTAGAAACAAATCTTCAAGCCTTTCAATTATAAAGTCTTAATAATTGTTAGTTAAATAATTTTTCCCCTTTTTTTGAAATTAAAAATAACAAATTCCATGTCGCAGTTTTTTCAATTAACATGAAATATTTTTAAGGAAGTTAATTATATTTTAGGAAAACTTAATTAACAACTTAATTACCATTTCAAAAATAAGCGCTCAAATATTCAAATTAAATACATAAAAAAAATTTTATTTTCTATTAGCACTTTATAAACTACAAAAGAATGCAACTTAAAATTTATGTTCTTTTTTTCGCAATTATGTGTTTTTAATAGAAATATTTCAAGAAAATTAATTATGAATAAAATCACAAAAACAAAAGCTCTATTCATTAGAACGCCACCGATTCAAATAATGAAATATTTATATGTTTCGACTTCTGAATAAACAAAAAATAATTAGTATCGACGCCATCACGTCTTTATAAATCATAACAAAATTAATAAATAAATAAATAAAATCACAATAGACGTCAAGTCAAGTCAATATATATTACAGTCTAAAAGTTCAATTTAATTCTATAAAATGCGAGAAGTACATAAGAATGCATGCGACAACGTATAATAATACCTGTATAGTTGATTTTTTTCTTTATTTATACTAATTTAATAAAATATTAAGATATCTAACTAGAATACCTTGAGGTTATATTAAAAATATAAGGTGTGAAAATATGCTTACAATTTATTAAAGTGTCGTTTAAAATCTGTTGTAAAAATATATTTGACACGAGTACCAATTATAATTATTATGCAAGTTAATTTATTCTCGTTATTATAGTGCACTCACACGTTTTTGTTTTTTTTTTGCTTTTATATTTGCTAATATCATGAAGACATATATATGTATTATTACAGATTTTTATTAGCATTGGAGACACGTTAAAAAGTACAATAAATATGTATAATAATAACAATAATAATAAATTGTAGTAAGTAATATGCCGGCTAGTTAAAGATGCAGCTCTTGTAATACAAGTTTTTAACTTATATTTAACACGATAGTTTCATGCAAATATACACAAACAATATTTCGTATGTAATGTAAATTTATACAAAATTTTTAAATGCTATTCTTTGAATGATTAAAAATTAAACTTCTTATAAAAAATTTAGAATGACTTTAGGGAAATTAATTTTAAAATAAAATAGATTGATTTAGCCTCATCAACTTTGCATGTTATGTCCATACAAACTACTAATTCCACAAATTATTTGAAAACTATCATTTGAAATTATGCATACTCGAATACAGCTTGAAATAGTGACTTTGGAAGTCACATACGTATTTTAAACTAATGCCAACTGAATATTTATTAAGTTAAATTAATTGAAAAAAACAACTACGACAAGAAACTCAACAAATTTCGCCAAGCTATTTTGAGAATACCGATTCAACCCGGATCAACTTCTAAAAAATTAGAAGGAACGCCACCGAAAAGATTTTAAAATTCGTATTTTACAAATTTCAAGAAAGGATAACTTGAAAGAGTTATTAATAATATCTATTTATTAGTATCTAAAAGTTTCAAACTTCCATGACTTATTTTATAGAAGAAAAACGATAATAAAAATTTGAAAAAAAACGTGTTTCAGGCAACGGTTAATTTAAGCAGAAATTTTCTATATTTTTAATATATTTTTAGTTTTAAATACTGCTAACTATTGCTAAAACAGAAACTTTAAACCAAAATCATTTTTTTTTTAAATAAAGAGTGAAACTAACTTCTTTTGTTTTTTGAATTGTTGGTGTCATTTAAAAACAATGACAGAATTACATAACTAGGGAGCGATCTTTTTGTCTAGTAAATGTTTGAGAGTACCTTTTCTTTAAGTTTCTAATTCGTTTGAAGTATTGACATT